CGAGAATACGGTAGACCTTGACCTCATTCTGCTGTCCGATGCGGTGGACGCGATCAACGGCCTGCATCTCGACAAATGGGTTCCAGAACGGATCCAAGATGATGACGCGGGACGCCTGGACAAGGTTGAGACCTGCGTTGCCGGCCTTGAGGGAAATCAACATGAGCTTGGTCCTGGGATTCTCGCGGAACCTTTGGGCAGACTTGAAGCGATCCTTCATGTTCATATCGCCGTCGTAGCGCACATGGCCTACATGCCTGAGCTCTTCGTCCTTTTTTAGAGCGATTTCCATCAGGTCAAGAAACATGGTCCACTGGGAAAAGATCAAAGTCTTGGCCCGTCCATCCGATTCATCTCTGATCTGTTTGATGAGGTCGACGCAAGCCTGTACTTTAGCTGAAGTCATCCAGTGTTTTGACAGGTAGCGGCGGTAGTCGCGGCCATCCTGGGCCGATCTCTTCGCGGACTTGCGAAGGGACTTGAGCATCGTCGCCTTGACTTTACGCCTTGGACCCTTCGGCTTTGGCTGTTTGTTCTTCGTTGTAGCACGCTTGTTTTTGGCCTGCTGTTTTGCCTTGGTGTTACGCGAGGGGGCACCTGCAGTAGATGACTCGTCATACTCATCGTCAACTACGAAGCCTTGGAGGTTGCCTCTGGCGTCGACATCATTCGCATTTTCTTCCTCGTCGTCGGAGGAGAACTCGTCAGATTCGTCACCTCCGCTAGTATCGCTTTCTTGCCGTTCCGCATTAACGTCTTTCACCTCCGCGTCGAGAAGCTCGGGCATGTGAAGCAGCTTGAAGGTCGAGAGATCAATGACTTTCTCCGTCTCCAGTGGTTCACGGCAGACAGCGCACCTAATCTGTTGCACATTCTCACCGCGGCGAATATTATCCCGCTCGCCGTTTTCAACATGAGTGCGGAGACAGTCAGAACACATGTAGTGTCCGCATGGGAAGGGGATTGCAGGGTTCGGAATTTTGTCCAGGCAGACAGGACAGTCAAAGCCTTCGAGAGATTCCATAGCCCCACGCACCTGCTCGATGAGGCGATTGACAACTGGCGCTTTGAGTGTCATGGCAAGTTCCAAAGCCGCTTCCTTGTCGCGGTTCAGGGGCACGCTTTCTTCGTCATCGAGCACGAGGTGAGGATGACAAACTGCCTGTCTCATTCGTAGCAGCTGGACGAGCAGGACCGAGTATTGCTTGTGCGAAGTGCCCTCCCTGATATAAGCATTGAAGATGACTTGGGCGTTCTCTGTGACGGCCTTGTAGTATTGCAGCTGCTCTCCTTCCAACTCGATGTGGATAATCTCCTCAGTCTTCTCAGGGAGCTGCAAAATACGCTGGCCGTTGATCTCTGACTTCTTGTCTCGTCGGAGCATGGTTTTCTGAAGGAGCACTCTGAAGGCGTTCAAGGCCGGGCCAGGATTTGCACCCTTCTTGAGGGGCTTGAAGGTGCGGTAAAATATTGCCCAGTCGTCATAGGGTTCGATTCGCAGAAACCGGTAAAAGGGGTAGATTTCGTGTAGAGTATTCATCATGGGTGTACCCGTGAGGCACCATCGGTGCTTTGCCATCAATGCAGTAGCAGCAAGGGAGGTTTTGCCCTTTCGATTCTTGATCATCTGAGCTTCGTCGAGAACGATGCGGTGGAACATGCTTTTAGTAGGGTGGAAAAGTCTGACACTCTGAGCAAGCAAGGCATCGTTATCTTGGTCGACGTTGCGACCCGCGGCTTGCGTCCAGAAAGTCGTCACCTTCTTGTGCTCGCTGCATAGAGTCTGATATGTTGTCAGGACTACGTCGTATCCCATCAGTTCATCTGCGCGTGGTCGGTTGCTTTCGTGGAAGATGCAAATGCTGAGCTGGTGGTCCGGCAATAACTTGTCTTTGATCTCTTCCTCCCACTGTCTGACGAGAGAAAGGGGAGCGACAATAAGCGTAGTCTGCTGAGTGTCAGTGTGGAGCAGAATGAGGGCCCTGTTAGAGTGGGAAGCATACTCGACTACCGTTCTTAGCGGGATTCGCTATCATCAATGCCAAGGTTGAGATGGTCTTTCCCAGACCCATATCATCGCCTAAGATGCCGCCTTTACGGGCACTTGCTTCCTGCTTCTTCATCCAAGTCAAGGCCTGTTTCTGATGGGCGTACAGGGGATAACGCAGGCCAGGTGGCACGTCAACCTGCTGGTCATCCGGAGTCTCAGCTCCGAGGGTTCGGACAAACTGCTCAATATGTTGACGCTGTCTTTCCTCCTCGCCAATATTTGCCTGTCGTTGAGAGACTGATCCGGGAGAGTCAATTTCCAATATGCGATGCAGATCTCGTTGTGTATTCTCCTCTAGAGCATCTCCGCTTCCGTATGTCATGGTATTGAAATCGATTTGACTTGTACGCTGGATTGTTGCGGCCAACCCCGTGAGTGCAGGCTGCTGCCGCTGCGAGCCATCGCGGCGCATGATGTTCATAGCGCCATTGTTGGGAGCTCTCCAGCTTGGTTGGGGCCCAAACAGAGAAGCTGGCACTGGAGAGCTCGACCGGGAGGGCTCTGGTCTGACCAAGCGCTCTCCCATGAAAATGGGTGAACTGGTCATGGGGTAGGTGAGGCCCAGGCGACGAGTCTCGGTCTTGGATCTTTTCTGAGCGACGGCAGCCTCTATTTTATCGTCGGCTCTGCAACATGTCAGTAAGAAGTTATCAAGCATGCGAGCAGTGAGCGACAAGGACTGACTGTGTAAGATCCATAACAGAACTGTCGCTAGCAGTTGAGCTACGGCGGCTGTCAACGAACGCCTGACGCTTGCTGCGACCGGGGCTCATGGCGTCATGTGCACCTTGGACGCTGCTCAGGTCACGCTTGCTCCGTGGCCGGAAGTCGCTCTGCGCGTAACCTGAACCGTGGCTTGAGGACGCCATACCGCCAGAAATGTATGACGGGAACCCGGGCTGGGGCGTTTGATGGCTGTATAGACCTGAAGAGTAGTGTCAACTCGGCACCGAAGACTCATTGGGAAATGGCACAAGAGCATGAACAAAAGTATAGGGTTTGGGACCCCGACGACTTCATCAGGCGTACGGAAGAGAGTGTAAGAGAAGGAAAGTTGAACGTGGGCGACATGTGTAAGAATAGGGGGCAAATCAAAAACTGCAGACTGCCATTGTCCTTTCATGCGCGAGATGGTAACGCGGCGATGCTTTGTTGGGCAGGCTATACGGATTCGGAAGGAGAGGGAGGATTCACTTACCATTGGGGCGGATGGCACGATGGCTCTCAGGAGAGGCTGTCTCATACCCAGTGCCTACCTGGACCGACGCATTCTCTTTGTGATATGCGGATGGATGTGTACGATGACCGTAGAACGGTGAAAACGAATCATTGGGCCGATCGGCGGCGGTGATGTGCGCATCTGGAAATCTCTTTGCGATGCGCCACTTGCTCTTCTCGGCAGTATCGAGCTGCTCGCAGAGAGACGCAATCTTGCGCCTAGTTGTGTGGATTTGAGCGTCGAGGAAAGCGTCATTGCCGTCTCGAGGCAGCTTTCTGAGGTAGTCCTGCTGGCCTTTGAGAGAGTCACGAAGCTGTCGAATGTGATACTCGGCATTTGTGAGTGCAGCGTCGCCCTGATAAGCCTGCGAGTCGGCCATAGTCTCGGCAAGCCTTGGGTGGACCAGGCTCCGGATGGTGTTGTGGTAGGGAAGGAGCTTGAGATATGACGTGCGGCGGGCCGAATGGTCGATATTGGACGAGTCAGGAGCAGGAGTGATGTAAAATACCAATGAGAGAAAGATCGTGAGAGTGATAAGGTAGGTGGCAACCCAAGTCGACCCGTGTCGTGTAAAGTCGCGTTGATGAAGGAAGAAGAGATGATTCAGAGCCCGATATCATCCACTCTGATATCGGTGTGGCCTTGCGCTATAGTCAGGGATTCTGAGGCAGGTGGCAAAGGACTACTCTATGAGCTGCTCGATGAGGCGAGGCGAGTGTCCTGGAAAGCGTGGCGTCAGTACGTTTTGGGGCTGGATTTCGAATCGTTCATTACACGTGAATGCCAACTTACGCAGGTCAGATATGCCTTGTGGAGATGGGAAGAGCCTGCGCCCGGAAGCCTGGGGGAAGCTTGAACCTCTTACCGATACGAATGAAGTGACCGACATGGAAATCGCAAGGCATTAAGTACCCAAGTAGGAAGTCCGAGGGTCGGTGTGTAAATTATGTTGGTGGTGTAGTGAAGATGGGTACAGTAGAGAATGAAAATGTAAAATAGCTGCCGTGGCCACTTCAGGTCACGCACCTCAGTTGTCAAGAAGGCATCCGTACGGTGCATGCGTGAAGGGGCGAAAGTGCCGAAGGCTGGCAGGCAGACACGTCAATAACTAGATTTCGCGGTGACATGTTTGGCAAGGAAGGCGCACTGGTGCATGTCCCAGCTCACAGTCAGGCTGGCGATGCGGAAGGTGCAGAAGGTGCAGAAGGTGCAGAAGGTGCAGAAGATGCGGAAAGACGGATTGCATTGCATGCAGTGGATGACTGGGAGGCATTCTTCGGAAGATTCTTGCCCCACTTTGACGATATCGAGAGCCTTGGGGGGGCAGAACATGATTAAATCTCATGTGCCGCGTGTTTATAACCACCTGCCTACCTAAGTACAGTACACACCGTACCGTTGTCGCTGCGGGCTTTCATTCGAAAAGTGAACACAAGGCCCAGCTCACTGACCGAGTCTTCATCCGGAACCTGACTCAGCAAAATGGCACCCTCAATCTTAGGGACTAATAATGCGCTGGCTCGCATTCAAGGCGCCACCCTCACCGACTAGCTGATGCGTGTCTACGGTTGAATTTGGACAACCTGCGAACATATCCAACGCAGGCTCCCTATACAATTAGTGCCTGCAGTACTCTATCAATGCTCGCACCAGAACGCCGATGAATCCATCCAAATCCTACACACAATCCTGTTCAACCCCTCGTCACAAAACTCTGAACCAAGAAAATCATCAATCCGATCCTGACCCGTTGATCTTATCCCAAGCATCTCCAATCTTGCCTGTCACCCAGTCCCAGGCATGTTTGATGCCATCTCCAATGCTCGTCGCGAGGTCCTTGTCGGGATCGTCGCCCCCTGTGGGCGTAGCGCTCGCGCTTGGCGCCGTAGATGTGGGCTCCTCCGTCGACACGCTCGCTACCTTCTCCGTGCTCACAGCGACTGGAGAGGTTGTCGGTTCTTGTGTGGTAGAAGCGACGGCCGCGATAGTCGAAGAAGCGGTCGGCTCAGGATCCGCCAATTCGGTTGGTGCGTCCTCCGGCTTGTGGAGGCCGGAAGGTTTGAGGGGAAGGCGAAGCGTGCCGTTGTTCGGCTTCGGCACGAGACCGACTGAGTCACAGAGTATGTTGTAGACCTCAATGTTTTCTGTCGCGCATCAGTCTGAAATCTTTCGGGGGAGGGGTGGGGGACGGCTTACGGAAGGGCGCGATCTCGCTGTTGGGCGGGTGATGGAACGCTGGCCCGCGAGCGATGAAAATGGCTCGCATGAGAGGATGCTCGTGGTCGTAGCCGTGGAGGCCCCGAGGGTGATAGATCTCGCCTTTCTCAACGGCTGCTGCGACGTCAAACTCACTCTTGGCAGCGATGGCCCAGCCCGTCTTGGGCACGATCCACAACGGCGCGATCCGTTGGTTTTTGGAAAAATGATAACGCTCGGGCATATTCACGTCTCGAAGGTAGACCTCGAAGTTGGGGTTCGTCTTGGCCTTTTCTTGCAAGCCGTCATACAGTCCTTGGAGATCAGCAGGGTCCTTGGGTCGCAGACCATAGAGCGGCCAGCCATCTGTGTGCTCGATCTTGTCGACGTCGACAAGGTCCTCGAGCTGCATGACCCGCGCCGTATCCGTCGACGCCATGCCGTGATCCGAAACGACGATGACATTGACAATGTGTGTCAGGTTGCGGGCCTCGAGCCCAGCGAACAGCTCCTCCATCATGCCATCGGCGGACTCAATGGTAGCTCGGATCTCCGTGCTGTTGGGTCCATATCTGTGGCCATCACCATCGACATTGGGCACATAGGCAGCAATGAGCTGTGGCCGCATTTCTGTCGTGGCAATGGTGTGGTCTTCTTTGCCGGGCATGTCCAGGAACTCGAGGATGCGACTGACTTTGTTGGGCAGCAGCTCCTTGCCGTTGTACTTGTCAAGGAAGCTAGGCTCGACACCGTCAATATGCGCCTCGCTACCGGGCCACATGTGAACTGCCGTCCGGATACCCTGCCTCTCAGCGGTCACCCAGAAAGGTTCACCGCTCCACCACTTGGGATCGAGACTCCGAGCGGGATCCGTGTAGTAGAAGTCTGCCTGCAGCTCAGGGTCCCAGAATGTGTTGCCGACGATGCCGTGGCTCTCCGGGTACAAGCCGGTGGCCAAGGTATAGTGGTTCGGAAACGTGACCGATGGAAAGGACGGCATCATATACTTGGGCGAAACACCTTCGGGCAACGAAAGCGTTGAGCCGTGGGGTGATGCCTCTCTGCAGGAAATCGGCGCGAAAGCCGTCCAGGCTGATGATGATCGTGGTTAGGCGCGAACAGGGCGGTGCCGTTGCTCACCAGCTGCGTTTCTGGTCCTGGCGGAGTTCTTGCCGAGTGAGAGCTTCCAGGCGAGGAGGAGCAGGATGGTGAAGCCGACAGCGATCAAGGTGTGCATGAGGAGCCACCTGCGCCAGCTGCGCCTCCGGTCCGACTTTGCACTCGCGACCATGCCCAGCCTCCGCCGGTCGAGCTCGTTGCTGTCTTCCCTATCGCTGCTGTCGCCGGTGCTGCTTCCCTCCTTCATGCCGCCCTCCTCCATTTCGTACATCAAGCCGCCGTCCTCGCCGTGAGATGCCATCTCCATCAGTTTTTCCTTCTTCTGCCTCCGTCTCGTTTTGCGTTGATGGCGCTTCTCGTTCGTGTAGTCGTCGGCCGACTGGTCATTGACGGACAAGTTCGAGTCGCTTGCCCGTCGCAGCAGGCGCAGAGGATTCGGGAGGGCGAGGCCGGAGCCTCGCCGCTGGGATTCTTGCCGCTGTCGTCTCGAATCGGTCACCAGGCGGTCTACCTCGTCCTCCTCCATGAACACTATCCTGTCAGCAGCGCGAAGTTCACGGCTGTTCCGGGCGCGGAGCTGGAGCTGGTCGTCATCGCTGTCGGAGTCTTGGTCGCTCGGGCTGTGGAGGGATGCCGCGTCGTCATCGTAGCCCACCGGCGATAGGAGGTGGGCCGCACCCTCACGATCACCATGGAGCGACTGGGTGTTGAGTGGTCGAAGCGACATGGCGATGGTGTATGATCGGTCGCGTGTCGTCGGTGCCAGCGAGGCCAGATGGAAGGCCGTCAGACCATCAACAGAATTGATGATGATGATGATGATGATGCTTGTCAAGGGTAGGATCAATGTCGGAATCAAGATTGAATTGAGGTCCCTCAATGTTGCGCCGCCAAAGATGCGGCCGCCGACCCGGCACTTTCCATCATCCCGCAGCCTAAAATAGCATAGTCCAGGCCCAAAACCGCAACTTCAGTGGAGAAGCACAGGCCAGTCCGAGTCAAGGGTCCAGCGCCTTCCTTAGGGGTCCAACCACGCAGCCAGCCTTGTCCAAGACGGTCCATTGTATCGACTCTCTGTATGATGAGGCATCGGCACTGGAAACGACTACCTTCTGAATGTTAATTGTCTACGGTTCTTATCCTGTCATTTTCTATATTTTCCTTCTTGCGAGCAGTCCTACAAGAGTAGCCGCCTGATAAGGCTGATTGATCGACTCTCCCCACCTCAGTGGAGGCTCCTCTGGTCTTCCTCACTAAGGTACCTCGGGGTTGACGGATTGCATGGGCTTTTCCTCATCATGGTCTGACCAACAGCGAGCACTGCAAGTACACTGTTCGCGGCGCGATGGATGCCTAGAAGACCTGCTCTACACCAGATGAGGAATCCTGGCCGTACAACCAGTACACATGGTCTCGATTTGTCAAGTCCAACGAACTGACGACCCCGCTAGAGCATTTGGATTCAAAGCTCAAACATGAAGAGCAAGACGCAAGCAAGCTCTTGTCCCAGTATCCGTAAGCAGAATACCCAAGACGCTAGCTGTGTCAGTCAAATGATGGCCGTGCGATTGAGTCAATGAGCCTTCTGACGGGTGTAGTAATTCAACAGGTGGTAATCGATCCAGCAACTAGGGTGCCTGGGGCGCCCACAACAGAGTTCCGAGCCGAGTGTGATGAGCTGTTCCTGCAGGCAGGTCATCGCCAGTCTGGTCACTCACTTGGTGTCGAGTTCGGTCGACAGTCGAAACCTTGTCATTTGCTATCACGGCCTCGGCTCGGACATCATTGGATATGGGCTTTCGAGCCGGGCCTCGATCGAATTGCCGTCGCGAAACGTAAGCACACTGCACCTCCCGTCGGTATGAGTCAACAGGCGCAAGGCCCCGCTATCGAACTCGGGCGGCTTCTACTCCGTCTGACCACTCCCGAACACCCCATCATGTCTGGCATCCACCACGTTGACCGCACCATTCACGTGTCTCAACTGGCATTAGGTGGACGTGTGTGAACACGGCTTACCACGCCGTACCGGCTAAACCTCGAGCTAGCGAATGACGGGAGCTCGACAGGAGCTCGGTAGGGTTCCTTGCCGTCACAAGCGGTGCTTATCCTCATCGGCCTGTCATTTTGATCTCGCCGTTTCGGTGACTCGAAGGACAGAAACCGAGCCGAGTTGTCATCCCGCCAGGCAGCAAGCCGCTATGCTCCTGTCAGTCGAAGGGCGCGTTCATGATGTATATAGTCTGACGTGACCATCATGGTCAACGGCCACAAAAAGCCCGGCATCAATATTCAACACACGCCTCATGGTGAATGAGACCACAGTAGCGCAAGATCGCAGCACCTCCACGTCCACAGCACAGCACCGCAGCGTCACGCCATCACAATGCCGTCCAACAGGTCACATAACCC